GACTCCCCGATGCCTTTAAATACAATTCCCCCCAACACCAGACAGGCCGGTGTCTGTCGGGATTAAGAGCAGGGCCAGGGTATGAATGTTTATGGGGAGATAGTAAAGGACATTTCTAGGAGCCATTTCGATGCATGCCTCCCTCATGAACCTGAAGAAATGCCCACCACATCACCACTCCCTCACATCAACTCCCCCCAAGAAAGCTCCTGGCAAACGTTGGGCCAGATACACCAATGCTACAAGGAGGAGGCAACTTAGGAATGCGGCAAAGACATTTGCACATAGTACTCCTGCAGTGCACTGAGCTGCACAGGCCAAGTACCAGCAAGAGCACCCTGAGGTGCTCAGAACAACACAGTCTCCATAGGAGCAAAACAATCTAGGAACACAAGTAGAGAGGCCATCACTTTCATGGAAGGTAGCAGGAGTTGACTTAACAGACGACTGCTTCTTAAATGGATAGTTCTATGTGGCCTGTTCCAGAGTGAGCTCACCAAGCAGCCTGGTGATCCTAACACTTGAGGGCAGAACCACCAATGTGGTCTAGAGAGAGGTCCTTCAGTAGAGAAAAAAAAAGTACGTATGTCTCACTTCATTTCTTACACTACAATCTTCTCCATTAGAATTCCTACAACAAATGTCACATTTCAAATTTCACATCATCAGTATTATAACTGGATTTACGGAACTTAAATACCATAGTGAAGCACAGCTAGCAAGCTAGTGGAATATAATTCAAAGTAAAATAATAGGCACACTTGCAAGAAAGTTCCGTTCTTCACATTCAAGACTGGGTTGTTAGTAAATGTGACTTAGTTCTTGTGAGAGGCTTGGGCTGTGCTGGACTGCCCCAGAAAGGGCAGCCATAGAAATGTGGGTAGGCATGGCTGAAAGGTGTACTGGAGCAGAGAAGGGAGGAGCTGAGCCTGATAGCTGAAGTAGGATCTGGGCCTCCAGGTGCCTCAGACGTCAGATGTGGGGGTTTGTTCTCACCTGGGGAGGGGTCATCATCATTATTGTCATTCCTCTTCCCCCTCCTCCCTTTTGGCCCTCTTTCTGTGCCAGCTCTGAGTCAGGAGCAACTCCAGCCACCTCCTCCTTAGCTTGAGGCTGAGAAGGTTTAAATAGGCTGTCATAGTCTTTACATGCTTGACTCCCTACTGCTCTGGCCAGTTGGTCCTTAGAGATTTCTTCTACCTTCCTCCGAGACCCTGCCCCCTTGTTCCCTCCCAGCTAATCAGCTCCCTGGCAGGGCCTCAGTCCCATGGTTGGGTTGGGCCCTCGCTGGGACCTTGTCTATTCATTCATGCTGGCCAGCTGGCTGTAGAGGCATGATTGACACAGCTGCACCTTCCAGCCAAATTCCCGTTGGCCTGCTGAGCTGTGGGAAAGGTGCCACCCTCTGGCTGCCGTTGGGCCATATCTCTGCTGGTTTGGGATGGCCGGTTAGACCCCATGGGGCAGCCCACTGTGGGGGCATTGCCATAGGGGCTGCCCTCTAGTAGACAGTTCTGAATGATGTTTTAGAATCAGTGTGTTGCTTATTTGTTTGTTTATATGTTGCTTCTCCAGAGACTTGCTTGGGATGGCTTACAACTAAGATGATAAAACAAAACCATCAAAACACAACTATTAAAAACAAGCCAACTTAAAAAAAAAAAGCAGATGCCGTTAAAACAAGCCAGGGCAAATCAACAGTATAAAATACACACTGAGCAGACCATGAAATGGTTAAAAGAATAACAAGGAGTATGTTCGCCTTACCTTTGAAGGCTGGGGCACAGAGAGCAGGGCTTCAAATGAGGATCTTAACTGGTGGGCTGGGCAGTATCAATGAAGGCAGTCCTTTGTAGCCTGACCAGAAGCCATTCACAGCTTTAATGAACAGGATTTTCTTACAGAACATGTGTACTTAAAGGCTAACAAGATATTTAACATTATCTAGGTGTGTCTCAATGAAATGAGAGCCCACCTCAGGACCTGTGCCCAATATATAGAGAAATATGGACCTTTACAAGAGGTTCAGCACCCCGTAACAAGGTAAGTATGCCTCATTAAAATCTACTCCCAGCCTGATGTGTGTACTTTTTATTTTGTTCCAGTCTATAGCAACAGCTTGGGATGCATAAAGATAGAGCTGAAAACTAAGGTATAAACTCACCATTTAAAGCCAGGCAAATATACATAATAATCCCAGACACAGAACACCAGCCCAAATAGAAAAATTATACAATAATTTGGTAAGATGCTCAGACTTTGGTCTGTAGACAAGTCTCAAGGGCAAGGAAACACTACAGCTAGAGGAATAGAATTTTTTTAAAAACCCTCTGTAGGGCTCAAATTTTAAGAGCAAACAAAGTATCTTGAATTGTATCCAGAAATAGAGGATCAGTCAAGGGCAGGACTACTGCTGTAATGTGCTGCTGCCCTGTCCCAGTCAGAAGTAGGGCCAGTACCTGAACCCTCTGAATAGTCATCAAAGGTATCCGTGTGTACCGCATATTACAGTAATATAGCCTAAAGGTGGTGATTTGGAACTGCAAGGAAGGAAGAAAATATAAGGATGTCTTTTGAAACACAGGTAATCATTGCTATGTAGTATGCATCTTACTGTATTAGAGATAGCAACCAGTTTTGAAGAATCCATTGGCACTCTTGATCTTGAAACCAAAAGCTTTGGATTGAACATTTGTACAGTATCTGTTAGACCAGTATGGGTAAGGAGAAGACAGTGGGCACAACAGAGCCCTTCTCCGATACCTCTATGCTTTTCTATGCCTCTACATTTATACTTCTATCACCACACTATGTGTATGGAGACTGGGTGCAGAAAGCCATTATCAGTAGTAGACTGACTCACCATACACTTTAACTGTAAACTGAAGTGAGTAATAAAGATCAATGAAGAAATGTAATTAGTCTTCATAAATAATATCTCTTGTTTTCAGATATCCTTGTCCTTCCTGTCAGTATGAATTGGATGAAAATGACCTCCTGGACCATTATCTCACTTATCACAGATTTGAAAGGAGAACAGTGGTAATTATCTTATACTTAAGTCTACGCATGCATGCATTTTGTTGTTCATAATGAGCAGTTTGTTTTGCAGATTAAACAAAGTTCTATAAATATGAATATAATACTACCTGACAAAGGGAGCTTTGACTCTATTTTGTTTTTGTGTTTGTAGTTTGAAACAAAATTTTTTTTAAAGGGAGCGTTGACTCTTAAAAGCTTATACCCCAAAAATCTTGTTGGTCTCTAAGGTGCTATTGGACTTGAATCTAGCTGTTCTACTTCAGACCAACATGGCTATCCTCTGAAACTATTTCCATTTAGTTGTATCAGAAAAGCATTTTGAGTTCAGTTTCCATCTATCCAGTTAGCATTTGTTTTTTCTTTCTTTCAGGACTTAAAAAGAAGTAATTCCAAACTTTATGTCAGGGCACACTAGCATACTACAAAAGGGCTACTACAAAGTAACACATAATTGAAGGCTCCTGTGTACATAAAGCACCCCCTCATAGAGGAGGCTACTCATTGTGTCTCTCTGTGATTTGCTGTTCTGGCCTTGCTGTCTTCCAATAATCCCCAACTAGCAATGGAACATTCAGATTTCTCCCTATGCAAAGATGCAAAATAATTCCTTGCTCTTAATGGAGGTTTTAAATGAGAGATTGTTCAAGATTTGTCTTCTTCCAATCAGGAGGAATACTCAGGCCCCTCTTACACAGAAAAACAGAGAGCTGGTTCCTCTGCAAACTGATTATTTATTATTTAGTATATTTTTCATGCCCTTCCTTGAATTTTCAGAGCTCTCCCAGCCCCTAAAAACAAGTCTAGCTCACCACTAGCATAATGCTAAGAGCTAGAACTTGTAGCTGCCAGACAATCTTCGGATCTCCTGGCTATTCTACGCACAATGCCATATAATAATTAATTACCTTCAATGAAAGCCCCTATAGCCTCTCCCCCTTTTCCTGCTTCCTTCTCACCCCTCAGCCAACCTACCATTATGTGTCCTTCTGTCTTCAGCTTTTCTATCTTCCCTCCCCATGGCAGGCTCTCCTGGAGGAAATTCTATGTGGTTCCAGCCACTGGGCTGTGCCAAGCCAAGTTGTACAGGTCTGGCTGCTGGGCCAGGCCCAGTTGTGCAGTGGAGAATATGCAAGGACCTGCAGGGGGGTACCTCACTTTCTGCTGTATCCCATTCTTCACACATTTCTTCTGTCCCTTCTCCTGACAGCCTCTATATCCTTAGCAGCCTTGGTTAAGTCATGCATGTTGCTTTGGGGGGGGGGGGGAGATTTTCTTTTTTTACATATTTATATATATTTTTTCCGCATACACATATTAAGTAACAATCAAAATACAAAATAATAAGTTAAATGGGGTAGACCATAATGGATTTTGATTACCCAGGTGTAGGGAGTCAGAATGCCACTACTCAGCACAGATAACAGCTAAGAGTTGGCACTTTGTCCCTCCCACCAACTTCTCATTTTGTCCCTGGTCTGGACTGTGGAGAGAAGTTTCTTGGTAAGTGAGGGTGGAATGCCGTCATGCCAGCACCTCCCTGCCCAGACTCATGGGTGGGTGTTGTGAGCTGAACAGCATGGTCCTATTGGGCCATATGCTCATCCTTGATTTGTTAGAATCTGACTGCATTCAGAAATATTATGTGATACATTCTGTGGACTGTAGGCAGAAAATTACACACGTAATATTACACCATGTAAAAATCTTCCTTCTGATATATGGAAAGCTAGTTTGTCAACAGAGAAGGACTCTAATTAAGCCTTCTCTATGAAGTGCTATCTTAGCAACACTTTAGGAACATTATGTGATTCTGTAGACTGAATATTTGTGTGATTGTAGAGTAACTTCTGAACTTCTGCTATTGCTAGTAATATATATACCTTGGAGGCAAAAAAACACATGCAAGTATGACACAAAGACAAACATCCTCTGTGTTATGCACAAAACAAAATTCATATACTTTGAATTAGCCTAATGTAGTGCTTGACAGAAGGCACATTGTACTGGTAGCAAATGTATCAAGTCTCTCAAATAATGCTCTTTAGCTAAAATTGCCCCAAATATTTCACATTTTGCTTTCTCTAATTATATTTATTTTTTCCATCTTAAAAGTGAACATTTATTTAGCATATTTACTTTCTTCCTGCTTACAGTACTGTCCAGTTTGTCGTTTACTACCGGATGGTGGTCCAAGTTATTACAGCAGTGGTTTTATAAGGCACCTTCAGCTCAGACACGCATTATATGATGAAGACTATGAAGACTACATTGTGAGTAAATGGTATCATTGCTTTTCCTAGGCTGCTGCCAAGACTCTTTTTCTTCTCCATAACTCCTGAAACTGATATAAGGGCATTCATAGTTTGCAAGGATGTTACACTTGAGGGATCAGAAAGGTTTAAAAGACTTAAGGGAGCGCAGTGGAGAAGCAGTCAAATGCCTCCGTGAAGCTACATAGGAGCTCTAATGTTGCTTGCATACCACTCCAAAAATGCATGAAAGGATGTTCCAGTCTCTCATGCTGATCCACTTCCTGCTTTTGAAATCAATGGATCAGGGACCCCAGGAAACTACTATGCAAAGGAGAGCAAGGAAAAAGAAGACATTGCTCTGAAAGATCAGGGAAACACCCACTTCTCACTTACCTAAAGAGCCAGAGAACCCAGAGATATAGCAGCCCTCTCCTCAGTATGTCCCAATGGTACATGCTGGATGCCAGTATTTAGTTAGTGATCTGATGCAGCCATTTCCCCTGCTGAAGCTAGGTTAGTAGTTCTGCTGATGAAAGCTTTGTTGGGGCTACCTATGACTGACAGCCCAGTCCTAACAGCCCAACACAGTGCCTCCTTAGCACTGCTAGCCAGCTTACTATGTCTGCTCTGCACAGAGGAAGTATGTGACAGAAATGCCCCCAACAAGGTACAGAGGCCATAGCAGTTCCACCAAAGTCCATAATAAATTCTCTGTAAGCCTCCAGTCATGGAGCAGCATACTGTGATACCTGCATGACAGGAAGTCAGAGACAGTCAAATCATAGATGGGGCCATGACCATGACCGCCTTGTCACCAGGCTGCAGCTGCTCTTTCACAGAAAACACAAAGGAGGGATCAAAGTGAACACAGCACCGTAGCGTGACTGGGAGGAGCCTTGGGGTGAAGATATTCTCTGCACATATGGATTCAAGAATCCTCCTGCCAACTAAATTCCCTGGCAGGGTCCAGCAAAGGAAGCATCTTTGCAGCCCAACTTGGACCTGAGGTGGTAGAGACACTGTCACAGGAGGTGACAATAGGCATAAACTGCACCTGCCACTTCCTTCCATAATGCTAACCCACCCGCCCCAATTGGTGCTCCAAGCAGCAAATTTGGATTGCTTGGCAAGTAGTGATGATTGGCATGTAATGGATTTACCTAAGGTTCCAGATAAAAATGTGTTTGACTATTTTGATCAATGTATTGTTGTTCTGCGCAATAATCAAATATAAGAGAAATAATACAGAGTAAGGTCTCTTAAAATTTTTTCTTTGGTTCTAATTTCTGCTTAAGGTGATAGCCGTATGAGCAGTGCTAGACAGACAGACAGACAGATAGGTGTTCTGCAATGGATTTGTTTTCTAACTTACTCGATTATATTGATGAGGTTATAATGCTTTATATAAACTTCCTCTGTTACTGTTTTAATGGGCTTGATGTCTGACTGAAGCTGCTGAGCTAGCCTGAGTGGCCTCCTCCCGTGCTGCCACTGCTGGGGGTACAGAGGAAGTATTTCTGTGGCTCACCTTGGATGGATTCTAGCTGGCTGGGACATGAGAAAATATGTATTATGTCTCCTCCTTTACATAGCTTAGATCCTAATGAGCCATTTAAAATATTACTCTGAAGTTTTTACAGTTCAGTACATAAAACCTTTTTCAAGACTGAAGGTAATCTGATGAGCTTACATGACAGAATCACTGCTGGCAAGACAGAAACACCAGAACACTTGCAGTTGTGCTATGGAATTTGCCCTGATAGTGCAAATCTGTCAGGGCAAATGAAGAACCTGGGAAAGCCCAGGGAGATGATGTTTGCTCATTTCTCCAACTAAGGCCCAGTTTAACCAGGAGGCTAGAGAGGCAAAAAGTGTCTCATGTATGGTTTTGCATGGGTTATCCATCTTGTTTAAACTATCTGTAATAGTTAACTTGCTGTAGCTCCTGCAATTACTGTGAATGTGTAGCTGCTTTATACAAATTGCAGCACAGTTCAAAAAAGACTGAGCCCCTACAAAGCTCCAGGGAACAATGCTTTTTCCTCATCCATCATCACATTTAAATCAGGTCTTCCTTGCACTCATTTAAAGGGTATTAGAGTTCCAGATTGTAGGAGTAAGCATCTCTATGGCATCCTGCTTCTTTTTATAAATATGCAGGCCCTGATTATTGGGCTTTGCATTCTAATATGACTTGCTTTTCCCCTGTAAAAACCATGTAGGGAGAATCTAATTCATGTGGTTCTTAAGGATCAAGCTTATTTAATCTAAAAGATCGGAGACTGATGTTTGTGGTGGTCGTGTGCTGCTGAGTAATAAGGACTACTGCTACTACTGACAAATAGGACTACTTTTACAGCTTTAACAGAATTTTGATTATTTTTACTAGTATGACTTGTTTTTCCCTTCTTATTTCAGCATATAGATATAGAAGAAGCCCTCATTGAAAGCGTTCTAGATGAATCCTTTTTGGAGTACGTACATGTGAATAATCCAAATACTGCATAAGCCCATTGAAAAGATTGGAAGATGTGCCAAATGGATTACATTGTGAATTAGAATCTTGGTTGTTTAATAGTACTGTCCTTCAGAAGTGTACTTCTGTATTTAGACATGGCATAGTTCATTTTTTCTTATTCATACGTTAGAGGTAATCTTGATAGGATCTTCACATGCTGAGGCTGAACACCTCCAAAGGTCCTTCTCACAGTGATGTACTGCTAAGAAGGAGCATGGGCATACTTCCAGAGAGAAAGCAAATGGCACACCTTCTCCACAACTGCTATTGAGATACCACTGCATCAAGACTATCCAGGTCCATCCAGCCATGAATTCATTCATTTCATTTGTAGATAATATTTGTTATTTAAAATCTTCAGAGGGTCTTAGTTGGAATGTCAGTATTCCCGCCTGACGTCTAAGCAAAGGCTAAAATGAACAAACTCTCAGTGAGGATTGGTTACCATAGTAACAAATGACAAAATGTTATATCAATTCTGTTAAAAGGCAGGTACAGTTAATAATGCTGCTGCTATAGTTTGGCTACACATTTAAGATATATTCTGCATATTTTGACATTTGGTGGTGTTTCAGTGGTTTATGATACAAGTTACATTTTACAAATATCCTCTGTTGTCATTATAAAACTAATTCATTCCCAAAGTTTCCACAACAGTGAAGGTTTAGATTCATTTTCCAATAGGTATAACATTAGCCAGCAAAAAGATGCATCTTAAAAGAAAGTCCAAGCTAACCATCAGAATTAAAAGTGAATTTTGCCTTGCCTGAAAAATAGAAATTCCCAGAAACCATTCTGAAAAAAACCAATGGCTTTCTTTTGTAGCAAAAGCTACTAACAAGCCGTACATTTAAATTTACAACCATGATCAAAGCTCAGTGCATCTTGTGACTGCATTTTCTAAGAACAGGCCAGAGTCTTCATGATCTTGAAAATGTTGCAATACCAAAGGCAGGGTGCAAGCAACAACTATTTACTTTTTAAAATGTGACATCACTAACCAGAATTGGGGAAGCAGGGAGGGAACACACCTTAATAATTGTATCGTCCTGGTGACTTCAGTAAAATAACTTGCAGTTTCATATTTTGTTGGTAGCATTTGGAAGATCTGGTCTATATTTTAAGGAGAAAACATAATTGAAGCAGTTAAAAGAATACCCAAATCAGCAAGAGCTAGCATGATGTCGACAGGGTCTTCTCTATGCTGTAACTAAATGTCACTTAGAACATTTATCCTGTCTTTTCTCTTTGAAATTAAGAGGAGCATACATTGTTCTCCTTTCTTCATTTTGTCTTTACAACCCTGTTTCACAAATGAGGTTGAGAGAGTAATTGGCCTAAGGTCACCTAAAGAGTTTCATGGATGAACTGGGATTTGAATCTGGGTCTGTCAGATACAGGTCTAAAACTAACCACAATGCTACATCATTGTAGGGCAGGAGACTAATATGACATAGTATTCTTCACTGTTTTTCAAAATACCATTGATTGTAAATATGTTTTGTAAGAATTAAAGTGCACATTTTATACGGATGTCTGAAATGGTGAAAGCATAGAAAATATTTTATAAGATGCTTGAGCATGACTGGCTTTACATTTGGGGGTACAAAATAATTAAGGTACTTGCACATAACTGAGACACATGACATTTGATACATGTGGTTGGTGCCCTTTAAATGTTATCCTAGTGGTATAGAGGCCACTTTTGTGGTCATAACACTGCTGGATTGCTATGGACAGCCTCTATGGAAACTCTGGGCTCACTCCATAAGAGCAGTGGCTACTTTATTGGCCTGTAGTAGAGGAATTCTGCTTCCAGACATATGCAAGGTGGCTACTTCAGCCCAGTTATTTACTTTTGGACTTGCTGTTCCGCACTCTCTTCAACAACAACAAAAAGATGCCCACTTCCAGGTACATCAGCTTGCTAATCCATATCCATCAGTGTGATGTATAGAGCCGCCTGAGCCTTCTCGCGGGGAGGGTAGGCTATAAATTGAATAAATAAATACATTAGAGAACAAGAAGTAAACATAGGTTGTTGATTTTTTATTTTTTTTTGCCTGTGGTCATCTGTGCATTCACATGACCCAGCTACCTTCTCTGCAACAGGGTGCTTTCAATGTGCAATGTACTCTATATTGTTTAGAGTAACTGAGGGGGAATGTTTGAATCAACTGGTTTCTGACTACTGACTCAGCCTCAAGGGAAAGTACTGATTCAATGGGAAAGGCTTACATGGTTGGATCGTTTTAAACATTACTCAAACCATGCTGGAATCACAGAAAGATGGTTACTACGGGGCTAGGGTAAGATTTAAAGGAGATTACTAGAAAAATTTGCCCACCTTAGATCAAAATCTCAAAAATGGGAAGGTACTTCTAGTCAGAAGTCAGAAGAAGGAGATTGGATTAATACCCGCCCTTCACTCGGAGTCTCAGAGCAGTTTACAAACTCCTTTCCCTTCCCCTCCCGACAACAGACGCCCTGTGAGGTAGGCGGGGCTGAGAGCTCTTTCAAGAACAGCTCTGATAGAACTATGGCTTGCCCAAGGTCATCCAGCAGCTGCAAGTGGAGGAGTGGGGAATTAGTTCTCCCAGATGAGAGTGTGCACACTTAACCACTACACCAAACTGGCTCTGAATCGGAAACCTTTTAAAGTCTATCTTCAGAAATATATGGTGTGAAAGAGGCGAACCCTCAAATGTTCACAATACTTCCCTCCCAGAATATTGTAAATCAGTATATGCACAACCTAAGACATACCTATTACTAGAAAAGTCTGAAAACTAGAAGGTTTTGTACCTAATTTACAGTACATGGCTCTTGAAGTTTACCTCATATACAGGCTAACATTCCTGCACAAAACAAGCCAACTGCATAAGAGATGGAGTGTTTGGATGTGGTGCTTTCATTACCTTCTCATTCTTGGATGAGGGAGGGACATTGCCAATAGCAATCAGAAACATGACTTGCAGAGTTCAAGTTCCATTTATTAGTATATGCAAATATGTGAAAGCACAGCTAAATATATATAGTATTATTGCACTATTAATCCCATTGTGGCTACTGTGCCACAGAGGATTGTGGGTGGATGGCTAACTTCCTGGTGGGGCCTGCTGTTGTCTCAGAATTAAGTTCCTCTGGAGAAAATGGAAGCTTTGGATGGAAGATTGTATGACACTACATCTCCACTGAGCTTCCCCAAACTCTGCCTTCCCCAGGCAGTACTCCCAAAGTTCCCGGCTGGAGTTCGCAACCCTACCTATCAGTCTGAAGAAACACCCTTCAGCCCTGTACTGCTGAGGGATATCTGACTGATTCAACAGCAGTCATCTTTCATTTCAAGAAAGGAGAATGATTTTGGCAGACTTCGTTACCAATGGTATTGTAAAAGTATGCAGAACTAAAGTCTTGTTCATGCACTTAAAAAGGTCAGCAGTCCTCTTTGCCTGCCTTCAATTATAGGGGAGGGGAAGGAAGGACTAGTTCCTTTACTGGTGACTGTAGAAGGCTACTGGAGAAAGTATAATTTAGTTATGATTAATTCATGGTCTCCTTCCCATAATTCTTTCTGTCACACAAGTAGCTTTGTTATGAGGCAGACATTCCATGTAGAGAATAAATTAGAGTGGACTTCCGGTTTATAGCAACACGATAGCATGCCAGCAGTTTGGAGGGGGGGGTGACTGGTCACCACCACCACCCCGGAGCCTTTGTGAAGGGCTCCTAGCCATGGGGCTTTGAAGGGTAGCCTCTTCGCCAGCGCGTTGCTGGAGAATTGAGGCGCTCTTCCACCCCGACGGTCCTGCCGCTGCTGCGTCCACAATGGAACCAGAGCTGCTGACCGGGACAAGCATTGGAGATTGGACGTATAAAACGTACCTTGAGCGAGGTCTTCGGACCATCAATGAACAGTGAGTCGAGTTAAATCGAAATGCCAGGAATTTAAAAGAAAGCCCCCCTGGGAACGACGAGTGAGCGGGGGAGGGGCCCCTCCCATATGCATAAAGAGAATAGCGATTTGCCAAGGGGGAGCTGGAAAAAAAGCATTGAAATCTGTTTTAAGAAATCAATCAGAGTGCCTATAAGTGTTTGGGCGAATTTCAAACTTCAGCAAGTTTTTTAAAAAGTAAACAATCCACAAATATGACGTGGAAAAAAACAAAGTCAGACAAGCAAAAGTGAAACCACCAGGGAGCATGAGCCCGAGGCTGGGAGAAAAAAATAGCATACTTACTCCTCATAATGGGGGGGGGACCATGCTAATTGGGCTTACTAACTTACAGGTGCTCATCAGCAGTACCTGTTTCACATATAATGTGCACTTACAGGAACATAAGCAGTATGCTGTCCAGAAGAGAAGGCAGGGGTGAGGGACAGAAGGCTGTCCCACCTCTAAAGGGGAAAACAGTCACTCACTTAAGCCTATGGGAGTGCTATTCCAGTATCCAATCACTTTTGAGAAGGGTGATGGATTGTTGGAGGGAAACAGCAGAAGTTCTGCTTCAGGGAGAGCAGTGAGAGCTCAGGTCTGGTGCAGGAAAAGAGAGTGAAAGGAAATGTGGCAGAGTGCTTTGGCTCTACTTCTGATAGAGAATAGAGTACCCAATTGTTAGTCCAGTCTCTGGCAATGAGCAGACCTTGTGCCACCATTTAGTCTGACTCTTCGGAAAGGGTAGGCTGGTATAGGTGAAATCCTATGTGCCTGTTAGGATCCAACCTAGTGGCTAATCGGTAAAACCCAGTTTATGCTGGAAAGTATTAAAGAAAACTGAAACTACTCTCTAAATTAATATCCTTCAGCCAGGTTTCTCTTTTGTCTATGGGGACCTGTGCTTTGATGTGTTCCTACTTGTAAATAAACACATCTTTGTTGTTAATATATAATTCTTGCCTCAGTGACCTCCATATTCTACTTGTGCACCACAAAACTTACCTCACAGCAGCAAACCCAAAGCCTAGATACTCACTACCAATGTTCCCTCTAAGCTGTGGAGTCTTGTGAGCAAAAATTCTGCTCTGTGAGCTACTGGCATTAAAGTTGTGAGCAAGTGATTTGACTACTGTATGACTTAGTTTGCTCTAGAGCCCTCCTTCCTGAGCTAAGACAAAAATGTGTGAGCTGGAGGCTAAAAAACTGTGAGCTAGCTCACACTAACTCAGCTTAGAGGGAACACTGCTCACTACCCTTAGAACACCTGGTATGAAGGGAAGGTTTATCATTTAAAATAAACCTGGTTCTCCCAAAATCATAGGAGGCTGGTGTGGGTCCCCTCAGTTGATAGAAACGGCCTGTCACAGCAGGTATCACATCTAAGAGACTGCTTGTGCTTTTCTAAACTCCAAACTAAGTACAAAACTTATAATTAAATCACCAGGATACCTTTCTTCAGACTGTTTTATCTTGTGTGCCTTGTAGGAAGCAAATACCTTTACCAGTGCACTGAAGGTAGTGTGTATTCTTTGACGCTTGTTTCAGCTAGAGTTGCTAGCTCCAAGTTGGGAAATACCTGGAGTTTTTGGGTGTGGAGCCTGAGGAGGGTGGGGCTTTGGGAAGGGAGGGACTTAGATGGTGTATAACACCATAGAGTCCACCTTCCAAAGCAGCCATTGTCTCCAGCTGAACTGATCTCTGTCACCTGGAGATCACTTGTAATCCCAGGGGATATCCCGCCGCCACCTGGAGGATGGTAACCCCACATTCAGCAGTCAAGCTTTGATCAGGAATTCATCCGTTCAACAGCCTCCCAGTTTCCTCCACGGTTTGTGCAGCCTAGTTTTGCAAGTTTACATTTTGTTGTGTAAGCAGCCATTAGAGGGCAGTCACAATGCTCCACGCCACATTCAGAAACGACGGGGGCGGGGGGGGGGGACCACTTGGTTCCCAGCAGCGTACCTGGTTTTTCAGAACACCGGTCTCGCTTCTGCTAAGCACGGCCTCTTTGTGGACACTGATGTAGAGCTGCCAAAGAACAAATTCCCCGAGGTAATGCTGGGGGGGCGGGGGGAGCGACTAGTTCATGTGAATTATTTGGGCTGAGGGACAAAAAGGACATGAATGGGAGTCGTCCCTCCCGCCCAAGGGTCTGGGTGTCACGTTCTCAAAACTCCCACTCCCGTGGGACTGCTTTAAATATACTGATATTTAAAAATAACGGCCTTCAGAGGTAGACAACAAACGCCTTCGTTGGCTACAAGGCATACCCGGTAAAGCAAGGTTTGAAGAAAAGAGCCCTACGGGCTTTGAGAGACGCTTCACTTAATTGTAAGCTTCGTGACTATTTCGGGCTTCCCAAGCGTCGGAACCATTTTCTACAGTCCCTTCGTCCCTCGCTCTGGAGGGCAACTGACTGCAGGGCACAGGTCAGTGGCAGTTCCACAAACAAAATGCTTGCAGCGTACAGGTGAAACTAAGTTTCCCACAAAACAATAAAAGCGCGGTAGAACCCGGCGAGGACTTGAACCACTCCTGTCCCTACCGAGAAGTAAGTACGGAATTCCCCCGGGGCTCGAGGCCACCCCACCTCACACTGACGAGCGGTGATGAGAGGGAGGGCGAGAAGCGGCTTTGGGGAGGGGGCGTCACTCTTGTTCAATAACAATTCTCGCCGAGGCGAAGGACTGTTGCTACGGCGACGTGCAACCTCCCGCTGAAGGGAGGCCGCCGTGGCGGCGGCCCGAGAGCCGCATGGAGGATGGTGGGGGCTTGCCCAGCCCCAGAAGGGAGAGCTCGGAAGATCTCGGCCCACTTGCGAGCGACCCTCCCTTCCTTTCAACAGCGGCACCTCCAGGTAAAAGGCGGGAAAATTTTCAGAGTCTGTCTGGGACACCACTACGCAAAGCCGCCAGACGAATTAAATTGGGGTGGGGGGGACTAACCGTGCCATTCTAGAGCAGATTTAACACCGAGCCATTTACTTAAACGGATTTAGAAGCTGGAGAGCTTTCTCTGCCTCCCCAGCCTTCATTGTAGGTATTGCACAGGTCACAACCACACTGCTGTCCTACCAGTATCATGATGGAATCATATTATTAATTTATTTCGGTACCACCTTTCAGTTTAAAAACCAAAGCAACCTCAACAATAAAAAAACCTCTTAAAATATGTGAAAACTAAAAATAGAAATACATGAAATGAAAATTCAGCTAACAGCTAAAATTCACCTGAAAAATGCCTCACCTACAGAGGCCTTACATTTTTTAAAAAAATATATCCATCAGAAACAGTAAGAAGAAGGGGACAGATAAGTTTCTTGAGACCAGGTAATTGCAAAAGGGTAGCCCTGTTTAGGTCTTCATAGTCTTGCTGTGTCCCACAAATGTTAACCATGAGATGACTGTTGATTTTTGTGGGGAGGGTGTTCCAGAGTTAATGTCAGCTTTATAGAAAATAACTAGTGTTGGGACGGTCAAAATCCAGATCAGTTTCATTGGCAGATATCAATAAGGGAAGGGATGTGGGGACAGGTGAGGAAAGATGATCAGCACCCAATTTTTAAATAGTGTGTTAATTAAATTTACCCTGCCACTTCCAGCAATTCTTTTAGCTTTATTCCTAGAATCATAACACTCAATATGTAAAATCCTGAGGAAACTGTAGTTTTTCAAAGAATAGGACCAGTGTGTCCCAAATTCGTATTCATACTTTTTAAAGCCATATAATAATGCAAAATTCTTTCTTCGCACTCCTGAGATCTAGGTGATAATAAAAAAGAAAGGCAAAACAATGAAACATTGAACAACCTCAAATGGAAGGACTACACATGTGCTTGTATCTCTAGCACTTATCATGATTATGTATTTTTCTCCCACTGTTCTTTCAGAAAGACTGTTATTTGCTGCCATGAATGAGGAACCCGCCACAATTTGTTTCAATGAAGATGATTATTACTGCCCTGTCTGCCAAGATGTGTTCAAAACACCAGTGAGAATTTCCATTTGTCAGCATGTGTAGGTGTCTACCCCATCACCCACTTCTCATGTTTCCTTCTTATTTTGATAATTTTGCCCTCCCCATCTTTAACAAGGATTTCATAGAATCACAAGTTGGAAGGTGCCATAGAAGGCCATCTAGTCCAACCCCTTGCTCAATGCAGTTCCAGCCTACAGTATCCCTATAGTATTGCAGGAGCACTTTTTTGTTCCACTTCCAGTGATAATGAAAATGATGTGAGGTTTGCTAAATGTAGCTGTTCAAGAAAATATAGTTGTAAACCTATGAGGGGCATGTGCGTTTGTATATGTGAACAATATGTGAACAGTACTGATACAAGATAGATTCATGTTGATCTGAAGCAGCACAACAAAGTTTGGGTCCAATGGCACCTTTAAGACAAAGTTTTATTCTAGGTATAAGCTTATACCTAGAATAAAACTTTGGTGGTCTTAAAGTGCCACTAGACCCAAACTTTGTTCTAATCGCGATACAAAATACTACTGGAACAACCACTAGAGACGTTCTTAATGGGGTGTATACTTATTTGTAAAAAGGCATTTTTTTGTGTTCTTTTAAGTCCAAATACCTAAACATTTAAGTATTGCCATCTTCTGTAGTGGGGTATGAATGTTTTAGCATCACATTAATTTCTCTTGGCCTACTAAAGATTGTTGAAAATATTTTATAATTTTACATGTACCTTTACTGAGTTAATTCACTTTAAGGAGGGACCCGGGGTACAAGGTTTAAAATATGTATCTCAGGACTTTAGGACTGACAGGCCTTGACAAACTTTCTTTGACTAGGAGACAGCCCAAAAATTTATGACAATTATTTTTCATCCTCCAAGGACTGATATTAATAGTGATATTTCCTAATTATTGCTACCCCAAAATCTAATCCTAAACTCTTCAGTTTCTTGTAACCTATTAAAGCTATAACAGACGTGTTGTAGTAAATAAATAAATATAGGGTTAGCCCTGGTTATCATCACCAGAACAAAAAGCTAACACCTAGCCTTGACCTAACCTCTCCTCAGTTTTTCATAATTCCATTATTGCTTTCAAAAACTCTGTTTAATCCACCCACCACCATTGATTTGTATAAATCCACCTACCACCACTGAATTATATAGAACAGTGGTACTTGTTCTACAGCTCACAGAGGACCATATTCTCAGTTATCATCAACAAAAGAGATACATTTGTTTCCTTTGGCATAGGGCCTGTACTTCAGGGAGGCTCACAGCTTAGCCATTCCCCTGGCAGTACCTGTTTCAAAGTGTGAACCACCTGCCAACAAGAAGCTCCATTGTAGAAGAAGAGAAGAGATTGGATTTATATCCCGCCCTTCACTACCCAAGGGAGTCTCAGAGCGGCTTACAAACTCCTTTCCCTTCCCCCTCCCCACAGCAGACAATCCTGTGAAGTAGGTGGGACTGAGAGAGCTCTGACAGAAACTGCTCTTTTTCAAGAACACCTCTGACAGAACTATGGCTTGCCCAAGGTCATCCAGCAGGTACAAGTGGAGGAGTGGGGAGTCAAACCCGGTTCTCCTAGATTAGAGTCCGCGCACTTAACCACTACACCAAACTGTACAAGGGCTTGTCAAAAGGGTTCAAGACCAAGCCACCAAACCAGGGCAGGAGTCGAGGAGGGGGGCTGGCCAAGTGGGACAAACAACCAAAAAAAGGCTGAAGTGTGAGTCCTCACACCTCAAGGTAGAACTGCCACCAGTCCCCTTCTATTGTCCAGGCAGCCAAGGGACAAAGTCTCAGGCTTTCCTGGAACTAAAGTCAAGATAGCCACTCTTGCAGGATAGGACACCTTCAAGGCAAGTTTCATAAACAATTACTCTGGTAGCTATAGTAAATGAAGGCTAAAGTACTGGATTCAGATTGAAGCCTCCTGAATTCAATAACTGCACAAGAATATAATTAAAGTAATTTATTTAAAATTGTGCCAAAATAATTATAGCAGGGCTGTGAGAATGAAATAACAAAGTTAAAAGTCTGTCAAAGCACTTTTACAAACAATGGCTCAAGGTTTTAGATATTATCCAATAGCAGACTCAGGTCTTCAAATTTCCAAGCTTCAAAGTCCAACAAAAGGTTTCCAGTCAGTAAGACCCACCAAACAAGACTACACCCATATGAGCACAGGGTCAATCAGCAGCCAACACATGAAGCAGTGGCTTGCAGCCCCACACAATAGCTTGAGGTAATGGCTTTAGCACAGCTTTCTTAGCTAGTAGCCCAATACTTCTGACTTATAACCCAACACACAATGGCTTGCAGCTCTCCTGGATGATAGCCTATGGCATGTAGCAATTACTTAGAACAACAAACTAGAATGAAAACCTTTACTTTATGACCCATGGCAGTGTTGACTTGATTCAACAACAACAATTTTATTTTACAGTCAATGACCAGCATACACAAAGGTTTACACAGAATCAAATGATCAAATTTATGGCCCATGGTAGTGTTGGCTTGATTCTAATTAGCCAATCAGGTATACAGCAAATGATGTAACCTAACTCCCCAGACATGTTGCTAAGGCGATGACCTGACTAATCAAAGGGGCTTGTCAATTAACCAGACATTCTGCAGCTGCATTGTGTTCAAATGAACAAACACATTTCTCCCGCCCATGATTTCAGGTGCTAAGGAGATGGAATGCACCCTCCCCTATCTCATGTCCTTAGAGCTACCAGGCCTAATGGGATGACTGGCAGCTGGGTTACCTCCCATCTCTCTTATCTGTGTCCCTGAAACTTCGAGCAGCTTGCTATGTTTCAGAGGAAAGAAATCTTTCTTTTGTGAGGCCTATTTACCAGGCATGAACCAATGTTGAAACTTGAACAAGAAACTGCATGGAAAACCAGTTCTTTTGACAGGGCCTTGCCTGCTTTCCTGAAATATAGGGCAGGGGCCACATTGGAGAATCATGTTCAGAAGATTCATAGGCAGCATGTTGACGAGCCACTCCTGAGCAATGGAGTGGCTCCTGAGCTGCTAAGGAATATCACTGGTGTAAAGTTAAGTTTACATACAAAGAAGCAATAACAAGAGTTTTGTGTACATTTATTATTACACCATACAACAAAATATTCTGATGTAATGTGATAAATTTTGGGTTGGATTCAGTTAGCTTTTTAGTCAATCTTCTCCAATTCCTCTCCTTAGTACAGCTCCCTCTCTTTGTGGCTTTTGTCTATGCAGGTCCTGTGATCCCAAATACACACACATGCACATACACAAACATATATAGATATATTAGGAAGAACTTCCTGACAGGGCAGTTCCTCAGTGGAATGAGCTTCCTTGGGAGGTGATGGGCTCTCTTTGTTTGGAGGTTTTTAAGCAGAAGCTATATGGCCATCTGAAAGCAATGCAGCTTCTGTGAATTTAGGCAGATTGTGAGAGGGAGGACGGCAAAGGATGAGCCAGTGCTGGACTCTTGTGGCCCTTTCTTACATGCCCAGGGTAATGCTGATTACCACTTTGGGGCCAGGAAGGAATTTTCCTCCAAGACAGATTGGCCCAGGGATCTTGGAGGGTTTTGTTTTCCTCTGGGCATAGAGAAAGAGTCACTGGAGGAGTGGAGGGGAAAGGTAGTTGTAAAAGTCCTGTGTTGTACAGGGGGTTGGACTAGATGACCCTTGACATCCCCTCCAGCTCTGTGTTTCTGTACACACAAACACACACACACAAAGTATTTATTTTAATTTATTTTAAAAGGCTCAGGTTATAGTAAATTAATGTCATAAATTCTGGACATTTTCTAAGTAGTATAACTTGTCATATTTGTGTTGTGCAACATTTAAGTTATAGCAGGTTTACTGACCCAAATTGTATTTGAAAGTTAGTATAAGAAAGTGACAGTTGCTTACAGAGAAACTGGCCTAAAATCTGACAGCTGGTTATTGTAACCTGAGTCATTTTAGATGTATATGATCATATGGATTGTGACAGGATGGCGTAATTGAAATGCACTGTAATTCCAGGAACAAAATAGCTGTTTGTTGGTAAAGCGCTGCACTTTTTTGACATACCAATTTATATTTTGGTTTAGGTTTTGCAGGAAATGTTTCTTAATGGCCATGAAAGAAGGTGGAACACACTGCCCATTATGCCGGGGAATTGTGACCAGAAAAGAAAAAGCACGTCCCAACAGAGCCTTAGATGTTGAAAACAACATGAAGAAATTGGTGGGGAGCTGTAGATGCTGTGACAAACAGGTGGAGTGGTTAAATATTTTTAAGTACACAAAAATATTTTTCTCAGCAGACAGATGGTATTGTGTCATTCTATGCAATCAGTCTTTTTGCCTCATGAAAATCTTTTTTTTTGCCCCCTAGAGGGGATTTTTATTGCATTTTCTATAAACTACAAACTACAACGAAAAAATAGGGAGGGAACATCTACATCTATGGAGAAAGGAAAGAAAATCCCTACTAACTAAAACCCCAAGTATAGGAAGATCATTACATCAGCTTATATAAGTGTTAGTCTAAAATGCTTACATTACATTGAACATAGTCGATTAAGCTAAATTATTTATCTTTTAAACTATTTTTAAACTGTTTAAAGAAAACCCCAAGAGCATCATTTATATCACATGCTTTAAGGCACCATTCAGAGTCCTTCAGCCTTCACTTTGCTTTATCTTTTCTAATCCTCAATTGGTATTCTCGTTTAG